AAGAAATCATATTTTTCCATAAGATGTATTCCTTAGGTTACTTTAGAGTGATAACCAGGTGAAGTTTAATCATTTGGCTGAAAACTGGTTTAACACCAAAAATGATTATTTTAGGGTGTTCACTCCCCCAGCTGTAAGTCCCCAATTTAAAATGACTGAAAATGATTTTAAAAGTATACTGAACACTTTCAATGTCTGATTAAAGCACACCAGTCAGTTTCTTTGTAAATTACACATTTTGTGACATGAAAAAATATCTAAAGTAGATATACTCATGCCTGTATACTGAAGAAAATTGATCAGATTTCAAGAACTTTCCTGAATCATCCAAATTTTGCAATTTTGATCTAGCATTTGCAGTAGAGGCCTAATCCAAGCTCCTTGAATCTTGAGGAGTGGGTTACAGAAAACATTAATGTAAGTGGTTTTAGGTGTAACCAACATTGAAAATTCTCTGATCTTCTGCAACTGTTCAGCCGATTCTGCTCGGATTCAACTGATTTTGCAAGAGTCTTGAGTCGGATTATGCACAGAAGACAATAAAATCACTTAAAGCTGGAACACGCTACAATAACATCATACTATGGTAAATTCCAGTCAAATCTTTATCCCCAGGCAACTATCATTGACAAGAAATGTTGTCAGCTAATGTTTTCTGCCCAAAGAAATAGGTTTCTGTATTTAAAGCAATAGCTATGTATGAAATGCGACTACAGTTGCCTTGAAAGCTCTATCTGAAACGACATGTCATTGATTTATGTGAGTAGTAGACTGATGAGTATAGTGCCTATATTTAGAAAGGAAATAAATCAAACCCAGGTATTTCCAACCACATTAGCCTTACATCAACAGTAAGAACAATACTGGAACTATATTCAGAAATAGACTGGAGAGATGCCTCTATATCAATAGCTTTATTACTAATAGTTGGTACAGATTTAGAAAGTTCAGTCCTACTTGACCATTTTAAGAATGTTACCAGTGACATCCTTTGCACCCTTGACAAAGTTTTACACAAAAGAAACTGAATCTTGTAACCCAAGGGAGGTCAGGGTCACACTTTTAAACAAAATGCAGTTATTTGTCAAGGGCAGTCAGGTGCTTTGGGAAACATCTCCACTCTGTGGTAGAGATGGATAGATCAGTCAGGATCTCCCGGCCTGGTGCGGCAGCCTCCCAGCATGGCACGACAACCTTCCAGCCTCCTTCAGCAGCCTCCTGGTGTGGCATGTCACCGGCACAGTGTGGAACCAAGCCCAGTGTGGACTGGAAGCTCGGTGCCAACATGGTCTGTTGTACTGAACTCTTTTCTATAATGCTGGACATTTTATTTCTGTATTGTCTAAAATCTTGTAACTAAAGAAGCTATGCCTAGGTACTTTTGTATCTAAGTCAGCACTGTAATTGGTGCCTTATAAACTTCTCATGATACTCGTTGAGTATACATGACAATAAACGCTGTTCAATTCTGTTCTGAGGAGATTTACGTTGATGGTTTGGGGAATACGTGCCTGATAGGGTTGTCGGCCAGTCTTTTTTTTCAAGTTGCATCCACTGCCATATTTTTCCATCCCAGTAATGGCCAATCCCATGTTGCAAGGACAACAAAAGAGTTGGACAGGCGCTGCATTTGGAATTTCTAACTTCATTCCCAACTTTGATCAGTGTAAAATAAGTCATGAGTCAGGATGCAGCAGTCATGACCTTGCCATCTCTATTGCAGTAACGTCCAATTTAAAACTACTGCGATTTTGATGGAATCAGACCACTTTCTGAAGGCAACATAGTTCACACATGCTCAGAGGTTTCAGGAGCCTTGGGGAAGCTCTACTCTAGAGTCAGGAATCTTTTGACATGTACATTCTAAAAGTATTCCCAGCTTACCATATTGCCATGGTATTACCATATGATAAAATGATTATATTTATAATGTGATCATTGATTTGTTTCTTGAAAGGCAGGTGACTGTTAAATTGACCAACGTTGTGAAATTCCAAAAGCTTTCAGATTGACTGGGGCACATCATTCACTGGATAAAATCTTCTTTTGCATTAACCAAAGTGCAAAATCTTCCCAGGCCCTGAACGATTTGGGCCATGGTGGGAAATTTGGGATAATTGAGTGTGTAGTCCGGTGAGGCCCTTCTTAACATTGAGATCCAAATGCCACATTTTTCCAAGTCCAGATGTCAAGATCAGATTATCAGTGAGCAGTGAGAGACCTATTAATGGGCATTATTGCTTATTATCTCCCTCATTATTACTTAATCTCACCTCATTAATGCACAGCCTCCCATTCTATCAGTTGCTGCATAGAAACTCTTTGTCGACAAATCTCAACATGAAAGTCAGAGCAGCTACCTGGTAACTCTAGCTCACTGTGAGCTCCTCTGGACCTTCATCTTGGATGCCCTGCACCAATATCTCAGGGCACACTCCAAGGGCAGTGTCTGCACACACCCACATCTACAGACATTGGCATCCAAAATGTGCCAGCCTCACTACACCCTCATGGGTACATCTCGAATCCACTAACTGTACACTTTGGAGCACACCACCAGCTTTCATCAGAATACTGCTGCCAGGAAACTGTAAGCTTGACCAGGCACCTAGTTTGTGGATTGAACAAGGCTGGCTACTAACTCACACTTTGAGTTCATATATTTTGAGATTACATTGATGCTGACAGCATCTCTGCTTTGCATTGCCTCACCTTTTTGCACTTTGCCGCTCAGTTAGATCCAACAGGCTCACAGACCTTCTGTGTTGCCTTGCCTTTTAACTCAGACACAAGGCCAGGCAGTCTGCCCTGGTGGTCAGCAATGATCAGTAAAGGGAGTGGAAGTGTCGATCACAATGTACCAGTAGTGTTTGCACCAAATGTATTGCATGTGCCTCAAACAAATGGACATGTCTTGAAGCCCAAGAGGAGTAGTTCTCATTCAAATCAAGGGAGACAACCTTCAGTCAGGAATTTCCAACACATAAGTCAAAGGCAGCCTTCAATATCAATCCAAGGCCTTGGGCAGGGTCGATTTGTCACTTAAGTGGACATGGTCATGATCCTATGTATTTCGGGGATGAAGAACAGAATGTCAAACACCCACCCACCTATCTTGGCTCTTTCTGTCTTACCATGGGCTGTTTTCTTCCGTAATGAGAGAAAGGGAGGGATTGAGTGAAATGAAAGTTGAATGCCCCAGCTGTTGGCTACAGGTGGTAGAAAGCGGTGAGGTGTGCTGACTGAGTGAGGCAGTAGGCAGTGCAGAGGCCATGTGGAATTACTGCTGTGGGGGTTGGGATGGGTGAGAGCTAGCGAGGAAAAATGTTGCGTGTAATGGCGAAAGAGATAGAGCATGAACCTTGGTGGGTACAGTAGAAGAGATACAATGAGGGGTGAGGTGGCAGAGAGAAGATGGTAGCACTCAGCCTGCAAGAAGACAGAAAGTTACTGCCCTTATTCACACACTGCTGGACATTTCTGAAATGGCTGAGACTGCACTGACCCAGATGGTCACCTCAACCGCACCTGGAGTATTGTGTCCAATTTTGGTCTCCTTACTTCAGGAAGGATGTGATGGTAGTTCAGAAGACGTTCACCAGATTGATTCCAGGGATGAAAGGGCTGTTGTATGAGGAGCAGTTGAATAGCTAGGGCTTGTCTTCACTGGAGTTCAGAAGAATGAGGTGGTGTCTGATTGAAGTGTTTAAAATGCTAAACGGGATTGATAAGGTAGATATTGATCAGAGGCTCCTCCTTGTAGGACAGTCTCAAGCAAGAGGGCATAGATGTAGAGTGAGAAGAGGTTGGTTCAAAACTAGGATGAGGAGAAACTACTTCCCTCAGAGGGTTGTGGATCTGTGGAATTCACTGTCTCTGAGTGCAGGGGAGGCAGAATCAATCAACAGATTCAAGAAAGAAATAGATATGTTTCCAATGAAAAACAGTATAAAGGGCTACGGGGAGCAGGGAGGAGTGTAGAGTTGGGACAAGGATAAGATCAGCCATGGTCATGTTTAATGGTGGAGTGGGCTCAAAGGGCTGAATTGCTTACTCCCGTTCCTAATTCCTCTGTTAGGCTAGGGGGTGGCAGAATTAAAACAGAGATGAGGAAAAATTTCTTCTCTCACAAGGTCGTGCATTTAGTTCAGAGTGTGGTAGATGCCAAGGTGCAGGATAAATTTAAGGAGGAGACGGACAGATTTTTAGTTTATTTTGGGTTAAAAGGTTTGAGGAGCAGGCAGGAGAATGGAGTTGGGGCCAAGGTGAGATTGTATTGAATGACAGAACAAGCTTGAGGGGCTCAGTTACCGACTCCTACTCCTGGTTCTTACTTATGCTTCAAAATTACACCAATGGTGATGGATTTGATTCGTGTTCTGGTGTTCTGACTCAGCTAAACAATAACATCCTCACCCCAAGATTAGAAGGCAGTGGCAAGCCACCACTGTCAAAAACTACAATAAACATCTGGCTCAGAATGCAGCATCAGCAGACAAGTCAAAAACCTTTCCTTCGACAGAGTACACATGAATGAATGAATGAACATCAAATCCAGGGCATAACTGTAAATCTAATGTTATAAAACCTTCACTCAAAAGTTCTGGATACGATGTAATAATAGGTTGAAAAGATATTGGGGACGTTGAGAAGTAACTGGCTGCTATGTTGCGTCAGCTCAGATATGCATTGATTATAAATATAATAAGAACTCCGCGGGGCCAATTGACACCTTCTCCTTGATCCACTGACTTGCGCACGTTGGGTTCAGAGCAGTCCGCGGTGTGCGACTGCGCTCCGGCTCCAGGGGGCAGCAGAGCTCCATCCCGTGAAGGCTGAACATGAAGGTCGTAAATAGTGCCCCTGTTTTACGGCAAGCCGGAAAGTGGAGCAGTGTGTGCGGAAGAGCAGAGGACGTTTGGGAGGTGAGAGAGGCCTGAGGGGTCAGGATAGAGAGAACAGAGGACAGGAAGGGGTAACGGTGACGGGAGTGGGCGGAGGGGAAGAGGGAGGGGTAACGGGGTTGGGCGGTGAGGGAGGGGGAGAGGGTTAACGCAAGTAGGGTGAGTGTGAGTGAGGGATTGAGGGAGGATCTGGGGGAGCCAGGGAGATGATGAAGATGGTGGAGGTTGGAGGGGAGTTCTTGCTGAAGGTGAGAAATGTGGCAGAAAACCGAAAGAACGGCGGATGCTGGAAATCGGGAATAAAAACAAATTGCTGGAAAAGCTCTGTGGGTCTGGCAGTATCTGTGGAGAGAAACCAGAGTCACCTGCAGACAACATGTCTGAGGAAGGGTCACTGGACCCGAAACTTTAACTCTGATCTCTCTCCAGCAGATGTTGCCAGACCTGCTGAGTTTCTCCAGGAATTTCTGCTTTTGTGTTTGGGAATGTGGCAGTTTTAAAGAGAGGGACAGAGAGATAGCGCCCAGGCTCGTGCTCGTGCTCGTGCTCTGGCAGAGAATGCTGATTGCTGCGAGTCAGAAAGGTGAAGAGGCTTTAAGTGTAGGAGGTGGTTTAGTTATTTTTTTAAAAATCAATTAACTGAAAGACAGTGCTGGCTGGTTTCATCTGTGCCAATTAAAGTAAACTTGGAAAGATAGTGGGGGGCTGTGAGCTCTGGAAACCGTAGGCCACTTTATAGAATCCCTACAGTGTGGAAACAGAGCCTTCGGCCCAACAAGTCCACACCGACCCTCAGAGCATCCCACCCAGACCGATCCCCCTTTCAATCCACACATCCCTGAACACTATGGGCAACTTAGCATGGCTAATCCACCTCGCCTGTACATCGTTAGACTGTGGGAGGAAACCCATGCAGACATGGGGAGGAAACCCATGCAGACATGG